GGCATCTCAATCTTCTTTGGTTAATTCTAAAGCTTGGATTCCATTTCTGTAGCAATCCTCATTTCTTGATTTAATAAAATGTGTATATATATATTGGTTCATAAATCATAATGTGATGGAATGATGGCATATCCTTTGTGATAGGATTTTGTTTTGCCAAATTGTTCTGTTTTTTTTTAATCAATCATTTTTCCACATAATTTCTTTTTTAAAAAAGTAATGAATGCTAAGAAAAATTAAAAAGAATCTTTTTATCTATTTTTGGTAATTTAAAAATGAAGTTGTCTTCATAAAACTCTTCAATATTGATAATTGCAAGTGATTTAATGATTTGGGAAAACAAACCTTTTTCAAATTTAGAAACTAAAATCAAATAACTTACTGTGGCTAGTAAATTGATGTAAAAGTATTTTTAAAAAATTAAAAAAATTTCAATTAATATTTCTTTAGGTATTTATATTAGAGGTATCTATTTAGTCATTTAGCAATCATGTCTTTCTATTTATATTATTTTTCTCAACTAAACATAAAAACAAAAGGAACATATACTATTTTCATGACATGCAAAATATAATTATTTTCTTTTCTAAAAATTTATTCCTTTTTATGTTTTGAGAAATCCTGAAATGGTAACTTAAATAAGCAAAATTTCAGTTTAGGTATAAGTGATCGAATTGGGATTTGCAAATTTACAGAAATAACCATATTGCCTTTTATTTTTTTAACAAGTCATGTAATGATATTAACAACTCTCATAACTATAATGACTACCTAATAAATGAGAAGATTTTATTTTACAATTTTCATAGGGAGTTAATATTAAAAACATCAACCTTCATAAGAAAATTTATTAATAACGCTATAAAAGCTGTTAATATTGTTATATGACATATTAACTACAGTGCTGAAATTGTAAAAATTTTACTTTTTGAATTTCTTAAAAAACTTATTACTAACTGTTATACCAAACTTGTTAATAGCATTACACCACTTGTTAACTATATTATGAAAGTTGTAAAAATGACACTTTCTGAATTTTTTAGAAAGTTTATTGTTAACTGCTATACTAAACTTGTTAATAGCATTAAAGAACTTATTAATTGTATTATTGGACTTAAAAAAAATCTCCAAAAAAAATAGATGTTAGCTGCTAGAACTTCAGTGATCAATCATCAGCTGGCCACCTGAGCATCGATGAGGGCAACCCCCTGAACTCCGACGACTGTCATTGGTATCGGAGCTCCAACAACCGGTCAGGCGATGAGAGTGCTTTTTTTTTTTCAAAGAAAAAGGAAAAATTTCAATTAGCCCCTTATGAAGAGATTTAATTTCCAACAGCCCCCATAAGATTTTGAAACTTCATTTCAACCCTTTTGATTAAAGTGAAATTAAATGTTATAAGTTGAAATACAATTATGCCCTTGTGCTATTTTTTTTAATAAAAAAAAACCCTTGCTAGAACTCTAACCGCTAGACCTCTTGCCGCCAGTGGTTGCTCACCAGAGCCCTGATTCCCAATGGCTAGAGTTCCTCGAGCCAAAGATTTTTTTTTTTTAAAAAGGTGGCCAGGAGGTTTGAATCCATGATTCCTTGGCACACCAAAAAATTTATAACTATCAAGCTATCCAATCCATTTAATCACATAATGTAAAGAAAAAATATATATTTATATAGTGAAGCAAACAAATGCAGGCATCCATGTATGAATGAACAACTGAAATAAGGCAATCCACAACAAAGACTAGGTGATTTGTAAGAGGTTTACTTAAGTTCACAACTCCATTTGAGGTCCTGTCGATAGAAAAATTAAATGTCAATGGTTGCATGAACAATTGAAATTATGTGATTTACAACAAAAATTAGGCAAATTGAAGAGGTATATAGGAATTCACAGTTCCATTTGAGCTTCTATTAAGAGAAAAATTATATGTTGAGAGTTGCATGAACAACTCAAATAAAATGATTCACAACACAAATTAGGCAATTTTGTTTTTTTATCCTGAATTACATGCTCTAATCACTGAAGCAATTTTATTTCTTTTATTGCTTGCAATTTATAATTTTATATATGTATTTTTTTGTGATAAATTTTAATTATGCTTGTCATAATTTTGCAACGCAAATTGTCTTATTTTAGTTGTTCATGTAACTCTTAATACTTGAATCATTAGAGCTAGAGAAGTTGCTTTGTAAAATTATGACAAGCACAATTGAAATCTATTCGGAAAAGAAATATGCATATAAAATTATAAATTGCAAGGAATTAAAGAAATAAAATTGCTTCAATCATTAGAGCAAGGGATCCTTAATAAAAGAAATAAAAGTGTCTAATTTGTGTTGCAAATCACCTAATTTTAGTTGTTCTCCTAATATTTAATTTTTATCTTCACAGAACTTCAGATAAAGTTGTGAATTTCTGTATACTTCTTGCAAATTGCCTAATTTGTATTGTAAATCACATAATTTTAATTGTTCACGTAACTCTTGATATTTAATTTTTCTTTTCATAGAACCTCAAATGGAGTTTTGAATTCTTATATACATCTTGCAAATTGCTTAATTTATGCTGTAAATCGTCTAATTTCAATTGTTCATGGAACCCTTGACGTTTAATTTCTCTCCACATATGACTTTAAATGGAGTTGCAAATTCCAACTCTGACAAATCACCTAATATGTGTTGTAAATTGTCTTATTTCAGTTATTTATTCACACATAGACATCTAATTTGTTTTGTTATTTGTTATATACTACTTCCGATCCTAAATATAAGAGCTAGTTGACTAATTTGAGTAGATTAAGGAAAAAAGTTAAGTTCTTTATAATAAATAGATGTTATCTTTCCTAAAATATCCTTATTAATCAAGTGTATTGGCTGGAACCACCGTTATTAGAAATATTATCTTGGAAAAATATATAAATATGAAAAATAAAGTAGATTGGGGCCTTATATTTAGGATCGAAATAAAAGTCAAATAAGATTTTATATTAAGAATCAAAAGTAGTATACATATTGCATTGTATGATTAAATAAATTAAATGGTTTGGTGATTATAATGTTTTTGGTGTGGCAAAGGTCAAGGGTTCAAACCCTCTTAGCCACCTTATTTTTTTTAAAAATTCTTTGGCCAAAGAGACTGGCAGTCTGGCACTAGAGCTCTCATGAGATTGATATTTTTAAAATATATATAATGGCATAATTATATTTTCATCTATAATATTTAATTTTATTTTGGTCAAATAGACTGAAATGAAGTTTCAGAATCTTATCATGACTATTGGAAATTAAATTGCTTTAAAGGGGGCTAACTGAAATTTCCCTACAAAGTTCCAATGACAACAAAACACTCTGTAACGGTAAGTTTTAAAGTAATAAATAATAACTGTCCACTTATTATTAAGACTTATTAATAATTTTTTTTTGAGATATTATTGGAATTCTCTTCCAAAAATAACCATGAAACTTCCCAACTTCCAATTCCCTAAACATGTGTGACTGTGTGCGCCTCGAGTCCTGTACGAAACTTCGTTTTTTGTTTTTTGTTTTTCCTTTTCTTGAGCAAACTGAATGAAACTTCGTTGATTTGATTAGGACCTCACAGAACCGGACAACGGTACAAAATGAATATTGTTTATAACTGTTTTTATAAATTTAGTACTCAAAGTATATAATAATTTTTTTAATAAATACCACTTTTCATATATTTTGAACACTCTCAACAGGAACATCAATCCTTACAAGTTATAACAAAGCTCCATCTTTGAAGCTTTAGACAACAAAATGCATGATGCCTGAATAAGCAAAACAACCATGTTTAAAGGAAGTACAGGGAGGCGTTAGTGGAGAGAAATTGACAGCAGTAATTATCTTTTGTGTGTGTATTTTATTTCGGAGCCGCCTGCCACTGGCACACTCATCCGTAGTTTGAATAAATTGGACCCATTTGAACCCACCCAGAAAAACACAGCGGGTTTTAATGAGTTGGATTTAAAAAATTAAAAATTAAAAATAAAATTTCTATTTTTTTCTTACATCTTTTTTTTTAATTAAAATTTTACAACCCACTTCTTTGATTATTTTTCAAATTAAATTCATTAAAATCACTCTTCCCCTGCCCTCCCCTCATACTAAATAGACAGTTTTAGAAATTTTCCTTTTATATGTTTTTTATTTTAATATATATATTCAAACTAAGAAAGAGAAGCCTATTTTTATTATAAAACAGTATAATATAATTTTTTATTCAACATTACATATATTAATATTAATTTAATTTCTTCCCGTCAAAAATTTTCGGTTACATAACCGAACCGTAACCGAAAACCGAAGCGAACCGAATTTAATTTCGGTTCAGTTATTTTGGTTTTCGGTTACATATTCGGTTTTTATTTTTGTAATAATTCGGTTTCGGTATTCGGTTCAGTTAGTAGAAAAAAAATTCGGTTATAACCGAAAAAACCGAAATGAATATATTATATGTTTATATTTAATAAATATTATTATAATAAATATATATATGGGTTTATGTGAACTCTTTGAATATATCTATATTCAATAAATATGGTTATAATAAATATTATTGTAATAAATCACATTAAATGATGAAATGTTTATTAATTAATGGTTGTAATTGTGTTTTATTATTATTATTAATTTAAAATCACTTTCATATTTATATATTTCGATTAATCGGTTAACCGAACCGAAATAATTCGGTTAATTCGGTTTCGGTTAGTTCGGTTATCGGTTATCGGTTCAGTGTTTAAAATTTGCTCTATTCGGTTATTCGGTTATCACCGATAACCGAATCGAAAAACCGAATACTCACCCCTAGTCAAAATATATTCAAACTTTTTCTGGATGGGATCAGTTCCGGGGATTTTTTAATTAAAAAAGGTTATTTTAAAATTGACCGCTCCGGCTCTTGCAAGATTGACGATGGCCATTGGGTATACAATAATGCAACGCATGTGGTGTGAGGTGCTCTTTCTCACTGTGCGTGTGATACACGTGAAAGCTCGACGAGAAAGAAAAGCCTCTTTCTATCTCATCATTGCATTTTTCATCCTCTGTTTCTCTCTCTCATATCTCTGTGAGCTTCAAGAAATGGCTGGAAATGGTGAGACCCAATCCGTCTCTGTACCATTCTTCATCTATTCTTGTATGTATGTATGTATGTTAGAGCGCGCTTCTAAACGGTTGAGTTCTGTTTCCGGTGTGTTTTGCAAACCTGCTCTGCTTCAGATTCGCTCGCCGAATTTCTTGCGTCTGCAGTTCAAGCTGCTCAGGAAGCTGGTGAGGTTAGTTGATTTTTCATTCAGTATTAGTTTAATTTGGTGGTCTATTTCTTGTATTTCTTTCTGGTAACTGAGTGAATTTCCAGATTATTCGAGAAGGATTCTACCAGACAAAAAAATGTGGCGCACAAAGGGCAGGTTTGTATTGACATTTCATTTTAATTTTCTTGGTCGTTTCTTTTAGTATAGATTGTAGCATTTTAGTTGCAGGATTAACCTCAATGCTCGCATTTTAGAAACATTGAGAAAAACTGGTATCTCGTTTCAGGCAAGCTTTATGTAACCGTTAGTGATTGTGCCGAGAAATTATTGGCATTGATTCCATAATTACAAGAATTGAAAGTTTGGTTGAATGTCAGTTTATTTTCTTTTTTCCTTCTCGGGGGAGAGGGCATTGCGGGAGATGATGGACAAAAAGGTAAAATAAAACGCGCTTTCAAGAATCCTGTAAATGACTCTTCTTGGAAAAAGAAGTTTGAACCAAATACTATGGCCTGCTCAGGGTTAAAAGTAGAATGCACCATTCGCTCATATGGAGAAAGGCAGGTGAAGTTAAAGAGGAAAAGCATAGTTGTAGTATCATTGAATGTGTTGTGCAGGGGAAGAAGAAGTGTAGCACTCATTTCAATGATTCTTTCAAGATGTCAAAACCTGTTTATCCTGAATGTTCTCTAATTGGGATTAGGAAACATGCCCCCTCACATGTAGCCCTTTGGTTTTAAACTGTGAAACTCGTCTAATCTTATGACTGCTATTTATAAGGTTGATCTGTTAGGAAAATTCTCAGAAATAATTGTATTAATATCGAAGGTGTAACAATCTTGTTTGTAGCATGCATGGCTGCTTTCAGTGAGCTATCTTAACTTCATCATCTATGTAGACTGGAGAGACTTTATTAGGATCAATCTAATAGCAAGAAAGTGATTCATTAACTATCATGCATAACAAAAGTTAACCAGGGCAAAACAAAATCAAAACAATCAAGCTCACTGGTTTCTTTACTAGCCTCAGATTTGGGCCTCTCATGGGTAATTCCGTTTATTGAATCTAAACTTAGTATCTTGGGTTCTCTGACTAGCTTCTTGTAGTTAGTTCATCTAATTCTAAGCTTAGTATATATTCTAATTTATTTGCTTTTATGCTGACATTTTGTGGAGGGGGTTGAAAAAAGTTTGCAAAGTTTTTGACAAGTTTATTGCTTTTAATTGAATGTTTTTAATTAAAACTAGCTATGCGATGCACATGGTGGTGTGTAACTACATATGATTAGATTTGAATTACATATTTGATAAGGGGTATTACATATTCGCTTCAATTTAGGACGTGTTATTCTATTAGTATTCTTCACCATTTCTTATTGAAACAATTATAGTATGTTTTTCTTGAAAATTTATAACTTTCTATGTATTTTTTAAAATATAACATTTCTTTTATAAAATAAAATAATAAAAAATAAGGCATATGTATATGGATTGGGAACGAGTTTCAGTGCGAAGCGGCTTGATAAGCACAAGGAGCTCATCACCGCAACGCACCGTGTCATTAAAGTTCGAATTGATCTTGACCGTTGGATGATGAGCGATCTAAAATGCTGAAGGTGTGGGCGATTTCAATCCTCTCTCTTCGTTCCCCCTTCTTCTTCGGCATCATCTTCATGCGCAGGTAAACACCTGATCAATAATCTCAGCAAGATGCTTCAGGAGGTGCCTATAAAGAGTAGGTTTTGAAGGATCTTGCTTGATAGTTGGGGTGTAAAGTGCTGCGACTTTGACTTCTCTGACTTGAAAAATTCATTGCCTTGATCTTTTAGAGACATTTGTTTTTTTTAATTTAGCTTCTGCTTCTGCTGAGACAGTCGCCATTGGTATTTTTCCTTCTTTGTTTTTTTTTAATGAAAAGGCAAAATGCATTAATTAAATAGAGATACAGATTTAAAGGTTCACTACACTAGAAAAAAACAGGACTAACCGAAGCAGCTACTTTAAAAAGATCAAAAGTAAAAGTCTAAGAGCTGCAGAAAGTCCGAGACGATAACATCCCGTGATTGTGCTTTGCGGCAGATTGAGACTTGCTTTTTGATTGAGAAAATATCCTCTCTCTTTTTTTTTTGAATGGCTGCCTCCTGAAAAAGAGAGTCGGTATCCAAACCAAAGCTGCCCTTCAACAACAGCGGAGGAGGTTTCTGTTGAAACATTCGAGTTTTCCCCAGGGGACTTTGATCGAAGATTGGCCCTGGTATTTTTCTTCGAAGAGGAAGAGAAGCAAAAATTTGGAACTTGCATATTATTAGAATAGAAAAAAAATAGAACTTGCCTTGAATGGAGGGAACTTCGTTGACTTTATCTCAGAGAACGACGTCGCATGGCAATTAAATAGAGGGAACTCGTCCTTGACTTTGTTAAAACGGTGCGCATAAATGATGAGCTCTCAGGGCTCATCATCTTGCTTAGCACCGAAACTGGGTCCATATGGATTGTATTCACGGCCCCTCTTATTTCAAGAAATTCTCATTTCTCCCCACCCCAAAATTTTCTTCTTTTGCTTTGTATTTTTAACAATATAACTTTTTATATAAAATAAACTAATAAAAATGAGCCACATAAATGTGTAGAGAGCATATGCACACACAAATTTGGGTTATTTGGCCATAAAAAATACTAGATCTGCATAAAGTTGAATAGATTGAATTATTATTAATAACTCACTATAATTACATGAGAAACTGATACAGGAGACAAGAGGACGCATTAAATTAAAACAAATTTAGATAGCAAATAAAATATAGATCTACAACCCGACCCATTTAAGCATTAGCAGGTATTACAAGATTTCATAATTGAATGTTTTTAATTAAAATATATCTGTCTTTTTTCTAATATTATTTTGCAAAGTAGAACGAATTAATTACTATGTTGGGTTCTTAAGGACTTGTGCTTCTAGGTTCTTTTAGTTTATTGGGTTCTAAACTTGATATGGATGACCTTTCACTTTTCTTGGATCTTAGTTACGTTTGCTAAGCACACTTTGAGAGGTTCTCTGAAAACTTAACAACATCAGGAAATTGAATTCGAACTTAAAAGATTAAATTAAAAACAAAAAAAATTAAAAATAAGAAATTGAAACAAAAAACTACTATATTTATACGATTTTTTTGCACATGTTTAATATGAATTATAGAAATCAAATTTTCAATACTAACACTAGCGGGGGATATAATTAGTTCAAAATTAAATGATGCACTGATAAAATTAATAATGCATATGTTACCAACCAATATTGATGTATTCTTTTCATTTGCCATTAAATAATTAGCTGAATAAAATTCTTTGTTCACTAAAAGAAATATTTATTTATTTTTTTATGATTGTGCTTCATGTAATTGCATGTTTTGAAATGGTAAACATAAAATTCATCATTATTAATGTGGTCAAAGTATACATTTGGTCCTTTAACTTTGTACAAGGTCTCAAATTGGTCCTTTAACTTCAAAAAGCATACATTTGGTCCTTTAACCCTAGAATCATTAGGCTTCAATGATGATTTTTTGTAGTAATCACGGATGTTTTGAAAATTAAACTTAATATGTTACCATTTGAGAATATTTTATCAATATTTAAGATTTTAATATCATCATTTTTTAAAAAAAAAATTATAGGGTTAAAGGACTAAAAATATACTTTTTAAAGTTAAGGAACCAAATTGAAACCTAGTACAAAGTTAAAGAACCAAATATATAGCCTGCAAGGGTTGGGTCCGACTGGTCGCAAACAGGGGCGCAAGGCGCGTTCTCCTACCGGGTCATGGGCTCGATTCCTGGCGAGGCACCCTGGGATTAGTTTGGCCGATACGCTAAGATACCCTGAGTTAGCGATAACATCCTCCTCAAAAAAAAAGAACCAAATATATACTTTAACCTTATTAATGCTATATAAAGACAACCCTTCCTTCTCCCAAAAAAACAAAAAATCATTGAACTATCATATTTACCTAGAGTCATTTATTATATATAGTTTTTAAAGCATGTACCTATATGTGCACACTATATTCACTCAAAGATGTGATCCATTTTCACAATCATAACAAGAAATATTTATTAAAAAAAAAAACGGGGCATTATATGTGCGTTTTATTAGCCCATTGAAGCACTGATATAATTGACCAATGTTAATTATTTTATTAAATAAAGAGAGTGATTTTTATTTAGTATTCGTATCTTATGTATTAATCTTTTGTTAACATATTAATGTTTTATTAACATTTAATTTGCGTATGATGCTATTACACATTAATTCCAGCAAGTATGTTTTTTAACAATTTATGTAAATATTTGACTGATATAACTAGTCTTACTTTTGAGAACCTATTAAAATCTATTATTAAATCTAAAATATAAAAAATTTTAACATGTACATGTCATCCAGTCCTCTATATAGTTTGAAATATGTTTGTATATAGTCCGATTTACCATTATATTTATTAAGACTATGTTCATAATTTACTATTATTTATTTCACTTGAAATAGTTAATAGTATTAAATGTTCACATAGGCAAATTAGGTAATATAAAAACTTTATATTATATATGTATTGGGCATGAAAATATTGTCCTTGAGTCACACGAGATTTGGCATCTAAAATTTATGTCAAAATATGTCAAATATCCACTCTTAGCACTTAAAAGTAAGAGTATATAGGTTAGCTCATTTTTCGAAAAGAGAAAAATGTGGAGTCTCAATCGTCACTATCTTACCGATTTACATTAAATTAACTGAGGTATCTATGAAGTTTTTTATTATTTAAAAAGTTTCATGTATATTTTGATTAAACTATTTATTTTTTTTAGTGTTTATGAATATAATTCAAGAGATATTTGACATGCATAAATTAACATTTATTCATGGAACTTTACCCAGGCACATTGCATAGTGGTGTGATCCAATGAGAATAATCAAAACAATTTATGTTATTTTCATGGGTGACGCCATTATAATCTGGTTGGGAGTACGATTTTCATGAATTCATGTTAATTTGTGCATGTCAAATATACTTTGAATCATATTATTTGACACAAAAAAAAAATGAAGAACTAGTTTTAAAAATATAGATGAAAATTTTCAA